TCCCAAAGGGGCCTGGAGTGACATGCCCACCGAGCACGCAGGCCAGAGACCAGACTGAGGGGGCTGAGTGCCCCACAGCAGGCGGACTGGTCCTGGGACTGCCTGGCCTCTGGGCGCATCTCCCTTGGCCCCAGCTTTTGCCCCTTAAAGACTAGGGACAGTTAAGCCGGAAGAGTTTGCAAAGCTGGCAACTTAGACAGACTAACGTCCCTGCAGACAAAGTGACCCGGTGGGCAGCAGCCTCCCTGCACACAGGCCGCACGACCAGGCCCAGGCCGGTCGGAGACCTCTCGCCATGCGAAACCCCGAGCACTACCGGGAAGGAACCCGGAGGGCCTGCCTGATGCCTGCCGGGACCCCCCGAGGCCGTGCTGTGAGCAGCACTTGGACTTGGGTTCCCTGCCTCCCTGCTGTTCTATGGGTCCCCTGCAGACGGAGATTGAGGCACCCTAAACTTCTCTCTCCATCCTGAATGCAAAACCCGCGTGTGCCAAGTCATCCACTACCCTTGGAAGCAGCTCACTCACCAGCTCCATCCAAGGCCCGGGGCGGAGGTAAGGGCCCCTCTCTCTGCTGCACTGACCCTTCCTGTGGAGGCCGTGAGAACCGGGGTCCCAGGACGGTCCAACCCGGGGAAGCCCTGAAATGAGGGGGCTTCCCACGTCTTACAGACAAGAAAGCTGAGGCCTGACACTGACAGGCGTGTGCCGTGCCCAGCCAGGCGGCCTGGCCGAGCGGGGTTTTGTGCTGATCTTAAGTCTCTGGTGTAGGGGCCGGGCCGTGCTCTGCAGGCTCTCCGTGGGGTGACGGTGAAAGCTCAGGGGGACGGGGTCGCCGGGCAGCTCTGCTTCTCCCTCTCTCGGGAGCAGAGGAGCTGCGGAAGAGCCACGAGGACCTGCCTCCCGAGAGGACGCCCGGAGAGACAGCCCAGAGCCCGGTTCTAGAGCTCGGAGTTTCAGGTTCCAGTTCTGGCCGCCAGGAAAAAACACACAATCCCGTGGAGAGAGGGCTTCTGAAACGGAAGCAGGGAGCCAGCAGGACCAGCCATCCGTTTTTTTCTCCCCGAGTGTGCTCTGGGGTCAGGAATCTCAGCAACATGGATTTGGGGACAAGGAGGGAACGGATCACGGCTCCTCTGGGGAGCTGTGGAGGGACGCTCCCTGTCCTCACACCAGGGGGCAACCAGACGCTGCTCCCTAGACCAAGGCCTCTACCAGCCGGCCTCGGACCCGGGGGCGGGGCGGGGGCAGGGTGGTGGGGGGAAGAGCCCGCTGCCCCCAGAATCTGCCGCCCCTTCAGACGTCCCCCCCCCAGCCCCGCCCCGGCGCACGCGCTGGCCTCCCCGTTTCCCGCTCATCCGCGACTCCCCGCGAGGAGACTGCTGCTAAGACGGCAGCATTTGCACGGCCAAAATAAAGACTAAGCCAGGTGGCCACAGGACGACAGCTGGGTCTTTGTCACTGAGCTTGAACGGACACCTAGGAAAAGGGAGGAACAGTGGCAGCTAAATCCCCCTACCGACCGGCGGGCCGGCCGACCCACCCACCCGCCTACCATCCGCCTGCTGGCCTCCCTCCCTGCCTCCCTAGCCTGGCTGTCTCTCCATCTACCAATCACACCTGCCTATCTTTCCCTACTACCCACCTGCCTACGTGTCCGGCCACCTCCTACTCTGCACCGGGCAGTGCACAGCCCATGATGTGAGTAGTGTCTGTGGACTTGCACAGGGACCCCTATACCTTCCTTTTACAGATGAAGAGGTGGCTGAAATGCGAAGTGGTCAGTGTCTCGGGAGAGCCACATGGCCAGCGAGTGCCACTTAACTACGTTAGGACACTGCCTCCCCCAGGCCGGGGCTTCTCTGTATGACATCCGCCCCAATCACCACTGGTTACAGACAGATCCCGCCCACGGCCCCTGCAGACTCAGCGGGTCCATCTATAGGTCAAGGTCTTTCTGAAGAAGGAATTAAGCTCAGAGGTGAAACCCCACACTTAGTCCAAAAATAGGCCAAGTTTGGACGGGGAGGCCGGGCGACCGGGAGGGGCGGCAGCCTCTCGGAAAGGCCCTTAGCTTGTCATCAGCTGTAACCCCTCACTCTGAATTTCCGTCTTGCTCCCTGAGCATTGGGAAATGTGCAGGTTTAATCTTGGCTTCTCGCTAGTCTACATGGTCTGTCTACCAGGGAGGGGAAAGGCTGCTGTGGGGAAGTAAGTAGCAAAGGAACTCCCCTCCCTGGATTTCTCAGAGGCCGAGACACCCGGCGGGAGTGGCTGGAGGGTCTGGGGAGCTGAGGGGGGACCAGGGCCCTCCTGAGCAGAAGCCCAAAGACAGTGCCCAAGGAGGGTGGTCACACAGCAGCCCACCGTCGCGGATAAGCCCGAGAACCAGGACCATTCTGAGCGCTCCCCCTGACTGCCGGACTGTCCAGATGGGAAGGGCTGGTGGAGACCGCCTGGCCCAGACCCCTCCGGGACAGCCCCAGGTCACCCAGCCCCGGACACACCAGGACTTGGGCGCCGTGACCGCGTGTGACAGACCACGGCGGACAGCCCCTCACGTGACGCAGCCAGCGTGTACACGTCACAGCGGGTCCGCTCTCACACGCCCGCCGCTGTCCTCTCCGGGCTGGGAGCTTCAAAGCTTACGCCTTTACTAGGGCACCTGGAACAGCACTAGAAATAACCCAGACCCGGGAACCTGCTGAAGCAGAAGGGCCGGCCGACTCCAGCTCCCTGCCCTTTGAGCGTTCTCCCTTCCACTGAACAGCACTGGGATTCTTTTAGAGGTGTTTGTTCTTCGGGGGTGTTTTAAGTTTATAATAAGGCATTTGTAGTGTGTGTGTGTCTGGGGGGCAGACAAAAAGGGGACGAAGTTATTGTTCACTTCAGTGGGCATTTCGCAAAGGATTGTTCCTTCTCAGGGAGAGAGGGGGCAAAAAAAAGTACAAAAAAGGGGGGATGAAGGGAGAACATCAGGCAAAGCCTAAGGAAACGTCTTCATCAAACAGCATTACCCGAAAAGCTACCCTAAGTTGCTCTGAAAAGTGTCCAATGTGAAAACGAACCACCTTCGTGTCAGGAAACAGCTGGGGAGCAGGGCCGGCAAATCTTTCCTAAGGAAAACTAAAAATGGAATCGGGATTTAAAATGGGCGATTTAAAAGTGGACTCAGACGCTGGCACGCCGAGGTTTCTTAAAGCAGCTAAAAGGAAAGCTGGTAAGTCGAGTGGGTATCAGCCAGGAGTAAGGCTCCAGCGGCGCCAGGAGCTGTCAGCCCTCGTCCCACCCCTTCCAGGCGCCAGGAGGGACTCCCTTCCCGCCGTGAGTGGCAAGCCTTCCACGGCGATGTGGTCGAATTTTCTGCCTGATCGGGTACCTCAGGGAGGTCCCTCGGCCCGCGCTCCCAAGCTGGGGGGAATCTGAGATGTGTGCTTCCAGCCCTAAGAAACTTGTGTCTTAAACAGTCACCCCAGCACACGTCCACACACGCACACACACGCACATCTTCAGATGGTGCGTGACGTCTGACGTCACCCTGTCTTCCCAGGGGGCAGCGTGGCGGGCCCGTGAGCCGGCCTGGGCGCTCCTGCTGCCTCTCGGGGTAGCCGGGCCGGGAGCCCGCGGGGCACTGTCCGCTTCAGCACCACTCCCT